TATTGGGCTTTTTGCCCATTTGTTAAAACAGGATCACCCGCATAAATGGAAAACTCTAATGCAGGAAAACCTAAGTTATTCAATAAATAAAGACAACAAACCAGGAGGCTCAAATATCGTGGAACTAAGAACTCCATTCCAACTTCAAACTTTTTTTTACTAGTAGAAATATAAAGCTGCCTTAAATTGAACTCCTAGGACTGCCCCACAATCTGAAAACAGAAAATGCCAAGTGCTCATGGGAATTAGCTACCGGGAACAATGACTCAAATCTTATAAGAGATTTGTTTGAAATTAGTTAGATATTATTTGATGGATAAGAAGACTTATAAAAAAAGAATTCTAAGAGAAAAGGGATTCTTAATAGATAAGTTTGACCAGCAGAATTTAAAAAAAAAAGATATTCTTAATAAGTAAGTTTGCATGCTTATAAATTAGTAAAGTCTCTATAGAATTAAGTACGAGAAAAAAATGTAAGAGACTTGTAGGATTTTATGAGATAAACACTCCATAAGATTACTAGAGATTTAAGTCTTATAAGTGTATATGTTTGTATGTTTGTGAGTGGACTAGAGGAGACTGAAAAAGTTCACATAGATATGCATGAATATATATAGGTTTATGTTTGTTTGGGTTAAGAATATTTTATAAGACTAGAGGAGATTAAAAAGGTCTTATGAGTATTGATTGTTAAGTGAGGTTGACGATTTGATTGTATGTTTGTAATTCTCTACAACTAGTGGATCTTGTTTCTTATCCGTTGACATAAGTCAGTTGGACCGAACCACATTAAATTATTGTTTGATTGATCATTTGATTTTACTTTCATTGGCTTGATTGGATTGAGGCTTTTGGCCTAATAAGTGGTATCAAGGCTATTGTGATCCTAACAAATGGTATCAGAGCTGAATGTTCAAGATGTGAGAAGAGTTGATGGTTCGAGCCATGAGAAAAGGCAAGTCTAGAATAGCTCGATTCAAGGAAGAAGTTTGAGTTCGTGTTTTAAAGATCGGTTTTGCATGAACGGTGAAGACACACAAGAGAAGATGATTATGAGACTTCCATTACAGGTGGAGCTAAGCATGTCTAGCATGAAGATAGATGATTTGATAGAATTTGAGTCAAAGTGAAGATTGTTAAGAATAATGACTTAAATCCCATAAGAGATTTGTTTGAGATTAGCTAGATATTGCTAGATGGATATGAAAACTTACAGAAGAAGAATTCTGACAAATTTGACTTATAGAAGAAAAATTCTAAGAGAAAAGTGATTCTTAATAAGTAAGTTTGTATACTTATAAATAGGTAAAGTCTTTATAAGGTTAAGTATGAGAAAAAGATGTAAGAAAGTTGTAGGGTTTCATGGAATAGACACCCCATAAGACTACTAGAGATCTATGTCTTATGGGTATGTATGTTTGTATACTTGTGAGTAGACTAAAGAAGACTGAGAAGATCCACATAAATATAAGTGCATGAGTGTATATGAGTTTGTATTTGTTTGAATTGAAAATACTTCATAGAACTAGAGTAGATTGAAAGGATCTTATTATGAGTGTTGATTGTTAAGTGAGGTTGATGATTTGATTATATATTTGTAATTCTCTATAACTAGTGCATCTTATTTCTCATCTGTAAACGTAGGTCAGTTGACCGAACCATATTAAACTGTTATCTCTTATGTGTTTGATTGATCGTTTGATTTTGCTTCTGTTAACTTGATTGGATTGAGGTTTTTGGCCTAACAAATGGAATCAAAGCTATCGTGATCCCAACACTAATCTCAATCTACACTACTGTAGCTGAAAAAATAAAAAAATAAAAAACACCCCGTACCAAAAGCAGCCACAATCTAAATAGGTTAGACATTCCTTTTGTTGTTCTTGCCTACATCAATTGTATAGCTCACATTTGTGCCATCAACAGTCGTGTGACAGTTTTTGGTATCTTATTGGTAATCTGTACAAGAAACAACCAAGGGACTGAGATATCTTTATCTGAAATTAATATTTAATATGCTGTATACCCCTAGATATACAGTCTTTTCGAAGAATCAATTCATGACATCCATTTCTATTGTCGAACGGTTTACATAAGCTCCAATGAATAAAACCATATCATCATTACCAAAAATAAAGTCCACAGCACCAATATTCAAATTTAGATTCCTGAACCTATAAAAATGTATAAAATAAGAAGCAAAGAAGAAACCAAACTATGGATTTACATCTCTTAGAATGATAACAAAAGCCAGAAGAAAAAAAATCACTTTACCGTACTAGTATTGCAAAGCTCCACAAGAAAATCAACCGAAGCCCTAAGCTGCTCTGTTCGATCTTCATCGCTAAAGCCTGTAGTTTTAAACAGAACTATTAATAGTTCAACTAAAATAGAAGAACATCATCTTTGTATATTCATACTGATCAAACGAACAAACTACTTAGGAATTAACAGCCCACGCATAAAGTAATACTACTTTTTTGCAATTGTCAAATCCATTGACATCATACTTTCTTGTCCAAATATAGCAAAGTAACTTAATCATCTAAAATCAAACAAAATACAAGGTGGAACTTTACCTGTTGCCAGAATTCATATAGTAGCGGTCACAAGCCAAGAAACATAGATCGGATCATAGACCATAAAGTATAACAAAGCTAGATCCACTTAAAAGTTTTTTGTACCTAAAGCATGACGTTTTTTAAATGAACCAGCTGTTTTCCTTTTTTTCTTTTAATCGAACTGCAAAGTAGAAAATAGAATCATAAAGTATCAAAACAAACATTGAAAAGAACATAGCTGATTCTAATAAACTGATTAATGATGTTAATGATTTAACCTTGACTTAAAAATCTTCGACGAAGAACATCATTGAATCTAAGATCAGAAGCGTCTCCAAGTCGATTTGGGGTTAATTTCCCCCAAATTATAGAAGAAATAGCACTTGCAAGAAGCGGTTTGAGGGAAAAGATCGCATTGCGAAGCATCTATATATATATATATATATATATAAACCCAAAGTTAAAAGAAAAGTAAATGCAGCATTTAGAGATAGAGTAGAATTTGGAAACCTTCGGCATCCTTGAGATAGTCTCTGAGTCTGAGAATCTCTTGCTTTCGCTCCTTTGCCTAAAACTCAGTCAAAAGCAGAGAAATTAGAAGGTCAATTTGGCAAATGTCCGGGGGAAGTAGAAAAGAAAGAAGCAGAGACCTTTCGCTTCCATTTAAGAGCGTCGGCTTGAGACGGAAGAGGTCATGGTGTTGGAGAAACTTTGATCGGAGAAGGGAGATGGCTACGGCTAGCTTTAGCGATTCATCTTTTGAAGTATCGGTCGCTGATGATGATGCTTGTTGGAGGGTGGAGGTCAAAAACTACCAAACTCAAAACACGCGGAGATTTCGGCCTTTCGGATTTCTTCTTCCTCCTCAGGCTCAATTTTGCTGGTTTTATGACTTGGGCCTGTTTGGGTCTTTGAGGTTTACAAGTTTAAAGCTGGCCCCAGTCCATTTCTGTTTAAAAATATATAATTTATATAATATTTGAAAATAGCTCATAAATCTCACGTTTTCATTTTAAGATACCAATTTCAAACTCAATATTTTCACCTTAACCATCGAATGTTCCTTTGAGGATGAAATTACATATTAATGTAGTATTGTTAATGAATTTCATAATTTATAAAAAAAAGCATATTAATAGTGGCATAAAAAAATGAAATCAATGTTGTTTCACTCAAATGCCGTGTTGCAAATTCAATTTATGTTAGCAAATGAAAAATAAGCAAAAAAAAAAAAGAAGTAAAAAAATTGTATAAGCTCGAGACTTGATCTCCAACCTATACAAAATTTTCATTTCTAACTGTTTATAAGCCTTGGCATCTTTGTAAAAAAATAAAAGAATATTACCAATAGCGCAGATCAACAAGTTAGAAGGCTCTGGTAAAACTTGGTAACGGTTTTTTGGCCCCCAAAAAAAGGTGAAATGTGAAGATATGCTTAAGGTTTAGCTTGGAACAACACTTCAATGGTTCTTGTAGGCAGCTGGCTGACTTGTATTCTCAAGTTCAAGCCGATCTTCAAGCCTGTTTATTGATTACCCATGTTATTTTCTATTATACACCTTCAAATTGACAAACTTTACATCAATTTACAAATGATGACCGTAACTAATGTCGGCTCAATCCAAAAGAAATTATGCAAAAGCCTTGCGAAATTATTATGAAACTATGCGACTAAAAATTGATCCCTATTAAACCTTATGAACACAAGTAACGAAAAACATACAAAAACTTACTATTTTCAAACACTAGAACAAAACCCATTCTTATCACATGCTTTTAATTCAAATTGACAGACTTTAAATTAATTTACAGTCAAAATTTTGTGTCAATGCCTCAATGCATGTTAAAAAAAAAAAAAACTGCTTTTTCATTTTCATTTATTTTTTACCAATATATATATATATATATATATATGTTTTCTTTTTCATTTATTTTTTAACAAAAAATATCAATCATAACAAACCTTAAACAAGCAGAAAAAACAACCGAAGGTTTGAGAAGCCAAGCATTGGTGATACGGGGTTTAAAAATACATTGGGTCACAGCAACCGCAATTATTGCAGAATGAACTATTCAAGTATTGATCTACAGCTGTAGTAGACGTTTTGTCAACAAGCAAATCATTTCAGAAGCCCCATTCGATGCCTATAATTTAAGAAATGAATAATTTTATTATCTTTTGGCATTACACGGCGCCTCCCATCCTACTAATAAGTGACAATGCAGTTTTCTTTAAGCCTCGAGGACATCATAATCCTACCTAACTTTAAATTTCTACTGCGGCATGCATACCTCCATCATTGGCTCCCCTCCAAGATGGATTCATTCAAGGCATGGATTCCCAAAAGTAAGTCAGAAGAAATATATCATAACATCACTAACAGATAACAATGACAAGATAAAGGCAGGGATAGAAGAAGACTCCTCATCAGTTGTGGTAAAGGTTAAAATAAAAAACTTTGAGATTTATAGGACTAAGTTCAACAATAAACTAAATTACTCAGTCAACCAAAAAACAAGATTTATCAAAAGAGGAAAAAACTAATCAAATACAAAACAACTGGATCCCTTCAAGGGTGACCATTTTCCCCGAGAACTTTGGCATGTATTAGCCACACTTGAGGGCAAAAACCACGGCATTAAGATTTGATTTCTTTTTCTCAATAAACATACCGCTATGACCTCGGAGAAATACACAACTCAATAAAATTTTACCTGTCCTTGGCAGCTCCACTTTATCACATAATACAAGTTGCTCGCCTCAAAAAGGGGGGAAATCAGTAAGTGACTTTATATTGAAGTCCATATGCAGAAATCCTTGTGGATACAGACATTAAAAGTAGCATGCAAAAATTAGAATAGATTCTTACAGGCCTCGACCTCGTATGCCTGCACATCCAACAGAGCTTGCCCCGAAGGGTTTGAGCTAACGATCCTCATTGCTGCATCAAACACAGCTTTTTGGTACAGATCATCCCCCATCTTCTTGAGGATTTCCTTCACCACCTTAAAATCTAATCCCCCGGCCAAAACCAATCTTCCAATTATTTCTCCAAAATTATTTGGTGCTTTTGGTAAATCAATGCCAATATCATCCAACAAGGCACCATAAACCAGGCATCCAGTCCCTATGTCTCTAGCTGTAAGGACTTTCTTATTAAACGAGTATTCCAGAAGTTTTGAAACTGGCTCAACACAAGGTGGGCTTTCCTCCAAGGCAATGGAGATAGCTTCCTTCACAACCTCAGGATGATATGATGGAGATTTTAGTTCCTCCAGACACTGCAATGCTTCATCCAGCAGTCTGACACTGAAATATTCCTCCAACAGTGCCCGTGTTTTTCTCAGAAGTTCGTCTGGATTTACTCTTGCAGCTGGATCTAGTGGTTTCTCCGTAACTGGAGACACAGCAGTCACAGGCACAGGTTTGGCAGAAATAGAAGGTTGTGCCACAAGCTCAGCACCCAAAATAGAGTAGGATGGCCGAGCAGGAGGGGTTGAACTTCCCTGCAACAGGGCACTTGTCTTGCCACTCATTAGGCCACCACTACCTGGAGGCAACAGCCTTTGATTCATTGAAGTTGATTTATTGATTAATGGTGATGGGACACGCCCTACAGGCTGTATACCGGGTCCATCACCCCTTGGCATTGACCGGTTTCTAGGAACCTCCCAATTATCATTGTCCATTCCAGGCATACCAGGCATTCTCCGAGCTCCCGGCATTCCAGGCATCAAACCCCCAGTACCAGGACGAGTGATAGGAAAACCCCCAGGACCAGCACTCATTGGACCAGCAGAAACAACACGACTATTTCTAATGCTTGCAGTAGCACCTGGACGCAGCCCAAGATTTTTTTCAGCCTCAGAATGGATTTCAGTAATTGTTTTGGCTTTCACCTGCAAAAATAAATATAAAAGAGATGTTGATATCGAAACCCATTAAAATGGACAAGTCAACAACATCTATCTAATCAAACACAGAAAAATTGATGACATTTATGAGTCACCTCCTCACGCCTGGGAATCCAATTGTTTGCACGCAGATCAAGAACATCACGAACCATAAATCTCAGTCTTGGCGCAAGCTGAGGATTTGTAGTCAATTCCTTCAGTCTGCTGAAGTACATATCATTTATGCGTCGTGATTTTGGACTCTCATCAAGCTGCTTACCAATAGTGTTGAAGAATTGACAAATGGCTTCAACATTCTCCTCTGCAGGGCAAGCTCTAATATCAGCGCCCAAAAGTTCCTGTTTGACAAAATAGGCACAAAATGATTTAGCATAATGTACTATAAATCCAAGTTCCACGGACGAGAAAGGATGTATAACCTGCACAATATGATGGACTATCTTCTCAGGTACCATTTTCTGCTTCAGAAGCTCACCAATTAATCGAATGTTACCTAGAGTGCGGAGCTTGACCATCCTTTCTTTATCCCTACGCTCCATCTCTTCCTCAGGGGCAATCATCAGCCCCACTTCTTCCCTGAGTTTGTCAGCTCCCTCAAATGCCTCCTGGCAGTTATTCAAGAGGACTCGCTTAAATGTGATTTCTTTTCCACCAGGTTCATCGGATGGGAATGAGGGAAGCTTATCATTAAGATCAGAACATAAAAGAGCATACATAGGACAAAATGTGGGTTCAAGAACAGCCTTCTCAAATATTAAAGAAATAACCCCCTGTAAAGGTACCAGAGATACCATCAGTGATGTCATCTTATAAATGCAGTAGCTAGAAAAGAACAAAATATTAGATGAAATGTATAAAAAAGTGTGTGTATGTGCGCGTGTGTACGTTTATACACACACAGCACACATGAATACATATGTAAAAATACATAGAGAGGGTGAAGTAACGTAAAAAAGAACAACAGAAATGTAGAAAATAGTAACCTTCAAGATATCAGCTGATGTGATACCAGAATCAATAAGTTGGCCTTTCAGAAGATCATACTTCTCAGGAGTCAGCTTGTTCAGTATCCTGCAAAGAGAACAGAAACATTCAGAAAAACCAGTTGTTCATTATTAATTTCATAAATTCGCCACAAAGGGACAGTGGTGAAAAATGCACATGTATCATCTTATTACCCCTTGCCACCATGGCTTCCATTTATAAAAAAACTTGCTGAGTGGTTTTTATTTGGTCGAGTCCTTCCTATCATGCATACTCAACAAAATAAAAACCATTCAGCATGTTTTTTTAAAAAATGGAAGCCATGGCGGCAAGGGGTAATCAGATGATACATGTGCATTTTTCACCACCGTCAAATTCTGTCATCATGAAAGCATCTAAAAGTTCTAATACCAGCCATACTAAAAAATATTTATTAAACTCAGAATTTAAGAACTTGATAGACCACAATAAATTCCAATGCTGTAAGTTCACAGAAATGTCTTGTTTCAGTAACTTAATTAAAAAAAAAAAAACCCACTTCCTACTACGTGGGTTTGCTACATAGATTATTAGGGTGTCATTGTGCTTAATCTAAGACCAGATCCTGAATCAAAAAACAAAAGCAAGATCTTTTTATGTTTTGTCAATAAAAATCAGAGAAGCATATATGATGCAAGAAAACTGCTTTTAGGGTTTGTGAATAGAAATTAGAAAACATATTTGATGCAATAAACATATATTCAATATATTTACCCTTTTACAGTCTTTAAAACACGCTCCTTCTCAGAAAGATTCCCCCTTCTCGCTGACCATGGAACCTCAGCCTTGACCAAAGTTGGAGTTGGTCCTCCCTGGTTCGACACAGGAAACCAAATGTTAATGTCCAATCTAAATGACAGACATAGCTTGCTGCAGGGATAAACTTGGTTCTTACAGGAATAAAAACAAAGCTAATATTAAGACACTATAAGTGGCAGAGTTCCTTGAACATTATCATTATGGAAAAAATAAAGAATCACTAGGATTGGTGCAAGAGACAAGTAATTGATATGCTTCATAACCAATGCACAATAATTCAATGGAACTGAAAAAGATGAGTTAATAAACAGAATAAAAGAAAATCCCAAATGTAAGGTTAGTAATGCAGTTGAATAATCTCCTGATCATACATAAAACAAACTGAAAGAAAATTCAGAGCACCATCACTGGGCAACTTATTGAACCATTGTTCTCTGATTGATATAAATACCTAATATAAATACCTAAAGGGTAAGAGATTAGCTGGAGCGAAACTGCCAGTTCCAGCAATAATGCCTTGCCCAATCTAAATTCTCCAATAAAAGTTTTATTAACAGAGGAATATGTCACAAAATGTTTTGAATACCCACCCAACAATTCCAACAACAAATAAAGCAGCATTTTAATAATTCTAGCAACAGCCAAAGCAAATAATAAACAGCTGAAGACCCAGGAAATATTATATAGAACGAAAGAGTTGTATCGTTTTACGTCTATTACCCCTTGGCTAGAAGAGATCTGTGCCCTTGAGAATTGAGAGTTTAGTTGATCTTGACGATTAAATTCATTATGTTCTGGCTGTCTGGAGTCATATCGGCTTCCCAATTCTCTATCCCGAAGTGATTCCCAGGACCTCTCCTCTCCAGCGGTAGGAAACTGTGCTGAACGGTTACGCCAATCACGATTGTCTGGCTCAGAGTAACGGTTCTGACTCTGATTTGGTGTCTAGCAAAATAAGATAATGGAAAACAAGTGTTAACGAAGAATGATTGCTTGGCAGTAATATTTGAAAATACAGGAATTTCATCAAGGCAGTTAATTGCTACCAAAATAAGTCAATTGAAAAGTAAAAAGCAAAAGAACACTTAGAGCTTACGTTGCTTTCTCCATGACCCCAGTTCTGATCTTCACCAAAGAGTTCCACTTCAATTTCTCGTTTAATTTTGAGAACTTCATCAGCAACTTCTACAGCCTAAAGAGAAGGCCAGCAGCTAATCAGATATTGTATCAAAATATAGTCAAAGTGCAATTGATTTCAACTCAATAAAACAGAAACAGATTACAAACAACACTGAACAATTTGTATGATCAACTCAAAATAATTGAAACAGAATGCTAACAATGTTGAACAACTTCCTTGCATGCAAATAAAAGACATGATTGTTCTTTTCTGGTTGATTTTTGGAAGTAAAATTAACCGAGAATGTGCTGATGCACAGATGAAATATATTACTAAGCACAAGTTTTAAAGTTACCTCCCTAAGCTGTAGAAGCTGGTCCTTAGTGTACCGCACTCGTTCACGACCCTCAAATCGTGTGTCTCCAGCCTACAACAGTAAAGCAATTGATAACTTCAGATTATAAAACCCAAGAATATTTCAATATGCAGCATGTTAACATTCAGATCAACTGTCCAAAGAATAAACCAGGCAACAGAAGATGCAACCTGTAAATCACAACTAAGAACTTATGAGGCATATTCTTAACATGGTTATCAAAAAATAACTTATTTATCCAACAAAAACAAAAAATAAGCTCCAAAAATCCTAAGTAACATCCAAATAAAAGGACATCACATATTTGAAATCTGTAGATTTTGCATCATAAGAAGGTAGTCAAAAGACACGATCTTTTTTACTCCACAATCCTCGATATGACTAAGTTACTCAGAGCAAAAAAAAAGTCCATGCACTTGCCAAAATTCAACTCATTAATAGAATTCTTTCTCAATTAGGGGGATCCAAGTAAATACAAGTGGCAAATATAACTATAAATTATTATATTATATTTACCAACAGTGGAGTTTAAAAATCGATAAATGGATTTAATTTATTACCATGTGTCCATTTAACTATACATGTTAACTTAATAATTTAATGTTAAACTTGTGTATTTGTACTTAAAAAAAATGTGACAATCAATTAAACCTGCCTAAAGAGCTTTTAAATTCCACAGCCAATATATCAAAATATCATCCACATATAACCATTGTAACACAGCTAAGAGGATTGACCCACAATAAGGACAAGTTCATTGATCTTTGATCAATGGAACAGGTCTAGGCTTTATCTGTATCAAAATATATGAAGATCCTTAAAATTTGTAGGTCCTTTATGGGCAAACAAAAACTCATAGAATACCCACCTAAAGCCTACATATTTTTCATTGTCCATATTTATTGCAAGTACACATACTAAGTGTACCGCCAAGTATTAGGATAAAACTAATCACATTCTTCCTCTTTTAAAAGTCTAATAATATCCAACTCTAAATTCTTTTATTGGTTAATAACAAAGACAACCAAGTTGCTACTATGAGCACCAATGTATAAGTTTAGAGCCTTTCAAATGATTATAAAGACAATATTTATCTCAAACATATATGTTAGAAAATCAACAATAACATTATAATATCACATCTAGTGGCTAAGGACATATGTTAGAAATTCAAAAATAACATTATAATATCACATCCAGTGGCTAAGGATCAAAGCCTGCTCAGAATTCAATCGCAGAAGAGCACAGTATCCGACAGCTTCTACAATAAATAGCAAAACATATAAGAGACGAACCCAACCCAAATCAATCAAAAACCAATAAGAGAACTCATCAAAAGGGCTAGATCCAGAATAACTGAGATATGGGTTTCGAAGAGAAAGGGATAAAAAGATAGAACCTTAATAGAAAAGGAAGAAGTAGCACCGCCATAGGGACGAAAGACAAGATCAGAAGAAACGGAACCAAAGGCTAGCGAAGAAGAGAACGATGAAGAAGAAGAAGAAGAAAGACCACCAAGGAGTCTGCTCCCTCGACCACCACCAGGTCTTAAGCTCAACACCGTCTGATCACCCTGCTGCATACCTCGATCCTTTTCACGTGAGATTCAATCTCCACCGGCCGATCAATAACCAAAAAGAACAAACAACTCAGCGATATGTAAAACGCTGAATCTGAATATAAAAAGAAAACAAAAAGGGATTTTCAATATAAAGAGAACAACAGGATTTGGTTTGAGATAAAAGTAAGATTTGTCTCTCTCTTCTGCGTATAGCAAAGAAGAGACGAGAGTATGTGAGGACGGCCTAGAGGCTAAACAAACCCTTCCCTTGGAGAGTGGATTTTTATTTTTTTTCTTTTTGCTTTAATTTTGTTTTTTTATAATAATTGTATGAATCTGAAGTATATTTATATTCGTAATTACATCATTGTCCTAGTTGGTCGGACTTGCCTATATTTCATTGGCTTTGATTGACAACTTTGCCCTTCGCTCTTCTTAATTATTGCAACTTCTCATAACAAAAAAAAGGGAAATTATAATTTATCTTTAACATAATTTTCAATTATAATATTTTTATATATTTTATTATAACACTTACGAAATTTTATGTTTATTTAAAAATAACTTTTCTAATTTGATAATTATGTTGGCTTTTAAAATATTACCTTAAAAGAAATTTGAAAATTTTATGCGAACATTTGAAGATTTTATTAAAATTATCGGTAGATTTGATAATTCATATTTTTGTATCGTATCTCATGTCGTGTCATATTTCACACGTGTAATGATATGAATTATTAAAATATAAATATGACATCAATTATAAAATATGTTTAAATTTTAAATACAAATATGATATATTTAATATATGTTTACACACAATTAATACATGTATAATTAATTCATTTAAATATAAGATGAATAAACATAAATAATACGAATATACATGAATACAACTAACATGAATACACATGAATAGATATAATTAATACAAATATATACAATAACATGATTAAAATAATAAATAAGTATAAATTATTCATCATTTACAACTTAATAAATTTGATATATTAATAATATAAAAAATACTTGCATATTAAAAAAATAAAAAACTTAATACTCATTTAATAAGTATTTAATATATATATTAATTTAGATTACATAACTATATAAATTTTAATATTAAATTCAAAATGATAAACTATTAAAGATTAAAGAATAAAATAACAACGCATAGGACTAATATTAATATTTATATTGTATTTATCTTATTAATATAAAAATATAATTTATAATAATTATTAAATAAGTATCATAATTAAATGTTTAAAATAAATTTTATATGATATTAAATAGCTAATTAAGTATCATAATTAAAATATTAAAAATTAAAATAATCTTTATATGTTTATATTAAATTAAAATAAATATGAAAAAAGTGTTAAACATGTTAAACATATTAAACATGTACTCGTATAATAAAATTAAATTAAACGTATTATCCGTGTCATGTCATGTATTTAGACTAATTAACACATATACGACACTAATTGTATCATGTCGAAATTCATATCAACATGAATAAATACAAAACACGTTTTTCTAAAACATATATATAATTTTTTTTGTCGTTTTTGTGTTGTATCACTGTATTATATTTGAAATTATCAAGTCTAATTAGTGGTAAATCACATGTTTATTTCATCACAACTTAAATGTAAGCAAAATTCAAAAAATAAAAAGAATACCTTTTAGTATTTAATTACAAGTGTTTGAATCACAAAATTGTAGATTAAAGAGAAAAATGTGATCCTTATAAAGTGTGATATTCAAGATTTTTTTCATTTTCAAGATATTTCGTATTCAAATTCACTATTTGGTTTAGGAGAATCTATGTATATTAATTCCTAAATAATTATCATAAACTCCTTAATATATATGATGATAATTTTTTATTAATTTTTATTAATAATAAATACACAAATGATAAATGATGCATTTAATAGCAAAAAAATAAAATAAATATTTTTATAATTACTATTTTTATTTATAAAATATAGTTAATAAAATATATTATGAATTATTTAAGGTGTTTTTGATTGGGAAACGTCTTAAATAATCTCTAATATTTTTTTTAAAATGAAAAAGATTATTGAAAGTGTTTATGGATGAAAAAATATCTTAAATAATCCATTTCATTTTTTTAAAAAGCATTAATTAAAATGATTTTAGATAAAAATGCCTTAAATAATGCATTTTAAAAAAGGATGAATATTGTTTAAAGCATTTTTTTTTTGTTTATAAACATATTAAATAATCCCCTTTAAAAAAATAAGAAAATTATTTAAGATGTTTCTGGACAAAAATGACTTAAATAATTTTTGTTAAAAAATATTAGAGGATTATTTAAAACATTTTTGAATCAAAAACACCTTAAATAATGCTTTTTTAAAAAATTAGTAATATAATTTATGGCGTTTTTTATCCAAAAATATTTTAAATAATGTTGATATATTTGTTAAATGATATTATTTAATGTGTTTTTTAAACAAAAACGCTTTAAGTAATTCTCTTCATTTTTTTGAAGGGAATTATTTAAGACGTTTTTGTCAAAAAATGTCTTAAATAATTTTTTTTTAAAAATGAAAGGTACATAAATGTATTAAATAATTTATTTGTAAAATATAAAAAGGATTATTTTAAATCGTATTTTGTACAAAAATGCCTTAAAATAATTATTTTATAAAATATTAACCTTAAACCCTAAATCTTAAAATATAAAATGATTATTCAAGACTTTTTTTGTACATAAACGCATTAAATAATCTATTTATAAAAATATAAAATAATTATTTAAGGTATTTTCTGTACAAAAATACCTTAAATAATCAATTTATCAAAACAGAAAAAGGATTATTTAATGTAGTTTTTCATGCCAAACTCTTTAATTACAATGTAAAAAAAAAAATTTCGTACAAAAACCGACAACTGAGTTCTAGTTACTTCCAAATATACTTTTCAAAAGGGTAATGACTATTTTATAATTTTGTATTCAAGTTAAATTTGAAAATAAGGTAACTTTTTTCCCTGAAATCCTATAATATCACAGAGAGATGTGAGTTTCTGATTTCAAGATTTTGGATATTATTAAGAATTTATTACTTATTTTCGTAATTAGATTATCCTGAACCAAACATAAAAATCAAATATTCACCATCAAAATTAAAAAAAAAAATTATAGATTTTTCCAAACTAAACGTCACCTTAAAACTTTATTTAAAGCACTAATTTTTAGTTTCATCAAATAAAACTTACCTTTTACTCAATTTATAAAATTCCTTAAAGTCATAATCAAAATAAATAATTACTTATAGATAATATATATAATCACATAAACATTCGTTACACCTATCATCTCAAACAAATATACATAATTTTTAATTTTATGTCATATGAGAATAACGTATATAAGTCATCATAAAAGTGTGAATAGATAATCATTTTTATCACAATTTGTGATCAAAATTTATTAATAGTTCAATTAAAATAAAAAAATATTAAAGGAATGATGAGATTAGGCTTATTATATGAGGACCTATACCACGTTTTTAATTATTTATAGATTTAGTATCCCAACTTTAAAGAAATGATAAATTGATAACTTAATAATAAAAAATATATAAATTGATATGTGGACTTTTACTTGTAATATTTTAATTTATGAACTAACATCTTTAATTTAATATGCCTGTATGATAATTAATAAAATCATATAACGTGTAAATCATATATAAAATAAAAAATTTTAAATAATTTTCAAACTTTAATGTGGATGCCACATGGCAATCCACAGTTGTGATAAAATATTATTTTTTGGTTGTTTTATTTTTTTAATAAAGAATTTTGAAAAAAAATAGTTTTGCATTAATATTTTTATCATCAATTATAAATTGTCACATGACATCCACATGAAATTTTAAAATTTATTAAATTTATTATTTTACATATATCATATGTGCAGCATGATTTTATTAATTAAATGTCACATAAATACGTTAGGCTAACTTTGCTAGTTTATAGATTAAAATATCTTATGATTTAAAGTTCAAGGATCAATTTATACATTTTTATTATTTAAATATCAATTTATATATTTCTTCAAAGTTTCGCTACTAGATCGAAAATAAACTTATTTTTGTGGTATGTTATTTTTAAGATTATAAAAGATAAAAATAGGAGCCAAAGGACAAAAAAGTAATTTGGGAATCAAACTTATCACTAACAGCGTCAATGTCGGGGGAATAGCACAAGGACAAAAAAGGTACTTTGAACCGCAATAAAAATTTAAATACCTTTTTGACAGTTTTTTTCTCTTAAGAAAAATTTATGGTTTTTTTTTATATAAAACTCTCTCGCTTGGCGGCCTTAGCCATGCGTTACCAAACATAACACGAGAGAGCGCATGCCTGTCGGTCCGGTTCTTGCCCTAACTTTTACCGCTTACTGCCTGTCCGTTCCCACTCTGTTGTACTCCCCGATCTTAGCCCCCGGATCGCGACAGCAAACTTGGTAACTTACACGTGTCGGTCTGATCAAGCTTCACCTTTCACTTTGGACTGTTGCGACACGTATACCATTACGTCATACTAGGGAATTTGCTAGATTGTGCACTTCCATTGTTTTGGTGAGTTTTGAAGTGGATTTTTTTGTTTTTTTATGGTAATAATTTTTACATTGATGAGAGACCATCGAATGATATAATTATTTTGCTTTTTGAGTAATGTTAGGAATGATTGTTAAATTATAATAAATATTTATTATAATATTTAAGTTTAAAAAATTTTAATTTTAATATTAAATTAAAAATTTATTAATTAATATAATATTTATTTATAATATAATTAATTTCAAATAATAACATGAAAAAAACAAATAATTTTATAAATATTATATTAATTAATAAATTTATAATTTATATATTATATTAAAAAATTTAAAATTAAATATCATATTAAATTAAATATTTAATAATTCAAAAAAATCATTCGTAACATTAATCTACTTGGATTTGAAGGCTAACATTTATTCGTTAAAAAAACCTATTTTTTTTTTTATTTTCGTATTATTAAAATTATCATATAAGAGAAATTATTTTATTTATTATTTGTAAAATTTTTAAATTTTATAAAATGATTAATATAATAATACATATCTTTTAAAGTATATTAATTAATTAAAAATTAAAATATGTATTAATTTAAAAAAAATCATTGATAATGTATTAAAAATTGACTCATAAAATAAATCATCAATAATTTTTTAATCCAAATTCGTTTACTGTTAGATTTTAGACAAATAATCTTATTAATTGAACAAATTTATCA